CCTTTGTGAAGGCAATAACATTAATGCTCAAGATGCGTGTCTCGGCACTGAACAAAATATTTGCCACTTTGAAATCCATCCAGTCACTCTCCCATCGTGGGAACAGGGGGTGATGGAGGCAGGGAATGGTGGATGTGAGGAGAGTAACTCCAAGTTTTGTATTAATTCCCTTAAGTAGTGTGCTAAATACAGTTTTAGGTTCCAACATAATGTTAAAACAGAGACTATGTATGTGGGGGAAGTTTTTTTTTTTTTAGGAATGAGATACTCGCTTCGAGGAACACCTAAATCTTCCAAAGAAAAGGAATTTATGAGTTTTGTATCAGAAGAAGCTAATTTCTTCAGGCCTTGCTCAGACTCCAAGACACCATGGGGATTAATGGAATTAGTTGACATACAACAGTTTCTTGTTTTAAATAGAATGTATACATAACCATGAGGGATATATGAATATGCAACAGGCTATTGCTTTTAAGGTTATTCCTTTGTTCACAAGGGATGCTTTTTGTAACTTAAGTGTCCAAGAACATCCAGACATCCGTAATTCTTTGCTTTTTATTGTCTTGCAATTGTCCTAACTCTAAGCTTTATTGCTCTAATTGTATTACTATTTTTATAACCATTTCATTATTATTAAAACTTTTAAAATTTGAAAAACCAAGTGATTGGCGTTTTTCACAATTATCAGTTTATGTGACTCCGGTTATGACTTTGCAGAGCCATTAAAGCCAGCCAAGTGGCACTGAGCAGCTTCTCTGGGTATTTTGAGGGACAAAGGTTTGCTGGTTCCTTTTTTCTCACCCTCACTTTTGCCCCTTCGTGGATTATTCAGCCGGGAATGCCGTGCTCCAGCCGGGAGCGCTGTTCTCCAGCTGGGATCACCGTGCCCCAGCTGGTGTTTCCCCGTGTGTTCTTGACCACGGAACCGGTTCCTCGATCCTGATCCTCGATTCCCAATCCTGATCCTGATCCCCAGTCTGCGATCCTGGTTCCCGGTCCCCGATCCTGATCCCAGTCCCCGATTCCCGATCCCGGCCTCCGGTCCCGATCCTGGTCCCCGATCCCAGTCCTAGTCCACGTTTCTGATCCTGGTCCCCGGTCCCCGTGCCAATCCCGGTCCCCCATCCCAGTCCTGATCCTGATACTTGGTCCCTGGTCCTGATCCTGGTGCCCGGTCCCCGTCCCAATCCCGGTCACTGATTCCCGATCCCGGTCCCTGATTCCCGATCCTGGTCCCCGATCCCAGTCCCGATCCTGATCCTCGGTCCCTGATCCCGATCCCCGGTTTCCGATCCTGGTCCTCAGTCCCCGTCCCAGTCCCGGTCCCCAATCCTGATCCTGGTTCCCGGTCCCGATCCCAATCCCCATCCTGGTCCTTGGTCCCCGGTCCCGATCCCGGTCCGCATCCCCGATCCCGATTGCCGATCCCGGTCCTTGGTCCCCGATCCCGGATCCCAATCCCGCTCCCGGATCCCGATCTGTCCCTGATTCCCGATCCCAGTCCCCGTTCCCGGTCCTTGGTCCCCGGTCCCGATTCCCGGTCTCCGATTCCCGCTCCCGAGCCCCGTTCCCGGTCCTTGGTCCCCGGTCCCGGTCCCCGATCCCGAGCCCCGTTCCCGGTCCTTGGTCCCCGGTCCCGGTCACCGATCCCGGTCCCGATTCCCGCTCCCGGTCCCCGATTCCCGCTCCCGGTCCCCGATCCCGAGCCCCGTTCCCGGTCCTTGGTCCCCGGTCCCCGATTCCCGCTCCCAGTCCCCGATCCCGAGCCCCGTTCCCGGTCCCCGGTCCCCGACCCCGAGCCCCGTTCCCGCTCCCGGTCCCCGATCCCGAGCCCCGTTCCCGGTCCTTGGTCCCCGGTCCCCGATTCCCGCTCCCGGTCCCCGATCCCGGTCCCGATTCCCGCTCCCGGTCCCCGATCCCGAGCCCCGTTCCCGGTCCTTGGTCCCCGATCCCGGTCCCGATTCCCGCTCCCGCTCCCGCCGCGGGCTCGGGGCAGCGGAAGCCGCGGGAACCCCCGGGCGGGCCGAACCACTGAGCGCGGTGGGGAGGAGCGGGCTGTACCACTGCGCTAGCGGGGGGGGAGAGATGCTGGCGTGGAAGGCTCCGTGTGCACGTGCGGCCAGAGGGCCGGTCCAAGTGCGGGGGGGGCCGGGACGTACCAAGCGTGACTGGGGACGGTCAGGGCGAGCCGCCCTCGGGCTATACCAATGCCCAACGGGGGGGAGAGGCCTGTACCACAGGATATAACGGGGGATGGAAGGAGCCGTTCTCCGCTACACGGAGAGGGGCCACCTCCCTCTGGAGCGGGTTGCTCAAGGCATTACCTAACCCGGCTTCGA